ACATTGTGTTTTGGATCACAAGAGGAACATTTTTCCTATTCCCTATTCCAGGTATTTGTAATTAATCTGTTCAAGGATTTTGAGGACACTTAAAAATAAACCTGAGTTATTGTTATCGGTAATGTGCTTGTGCAACAGCAAGTTTGATGCCACAGTCATCTCAATGGCAGTAAATTATAAAATAGAAATGGACTTTACTGTAATTAATTGAAAGATGCGAGAGGTCAAGAGATCAATAAGAGCTGCAAGGTTTCTCTCATTTAAGCTTGAACTTAAGTTACTCAGCAGCGACTACTCTGTAGCTATTAACAAGAGGGAATAAAATGAAGGAATGAAACAGGGCAATCAAAGATCCACTATAAAATTTGAAACCAGTCCATAAAAATGACTTCCAACTCAAGGAAAACTTTTCCACTACTCTTCTTCATTCCAAATGTAGCCAACTGTGTTCACTTATCATTAGCTAAATTTCACTTGACTCAATAATACTTAGGCCTAAATAACTGTATGTAACATTTTCAAAATTACTGTAATTTTCCTATTCACTTTCTGGATCACATTCACACAACTTTGCTTTCACACAATTAAATTACCACATTATAATATTTGTTCTTTAAAATCACAAAAGAGTCAATTAATCATTTACACTTTACCTCTAATCTTCATGGAGATCACGGGGAAAAACACATCACAACAAATATCCACATAGGCCATGGACTTAATTAAGTGATGCAGTCATAGCTGGTTGAGGAACAGGGACGGAGGAGTCAGAGCTCAGATCATATCACAGGCAACATGGCAAGTCACTGGACTGGCGTTGGCTTAGGAAACTCCCCATTGCTATGAGCCTGAACAGGGTTACCACTGTTAGAGGATGGGAATTGGTGAGCAGGTACAATTGTCACAGGAACTGCTCCAGTTTGAACATTTTTAAAATCTCCATTATGTTCCGTCTGGCTCTGACTTGGGTTCTGAGCAAATGGGTGAGTAGGAATTGGTTTGAAATCACCGTTCTGAGGTTGTCCTCCATTATTTACAAAGGCATTGTTAGGGTGCCCAAAAGCTGGAACATAGCACTGGGGAAAATACAGTTCTGGTTTTACAACAGCTGTGGGAGGAACACTTCTACCCAGCAAATGCTTTGTTTCAGTATTGTTATTTGGTCTCCTGCCCTTATTGGCATGTGGGTTCATATGGTTATCAATATGCTTTTTGACCTCTGGCTCAGTGGCAAATCTTCTTCTACAGTTAGGCATTGGACAGCAATATGGGCGCTCACCTTGGTGGGTGCGAGTATGTTGGTCTAAAATGGCTTTCTGTCTAAAGTCCTTTCCACATTGTGCACACTTGTATGGTTTTTCTCCAGTATGAATCCTTAAATGCTGATTCAAAATAGTCCTCTGCCTGAAATTCCTCCCACAATACCCACAACCATAAGGTTTCTCGTTAGTATGTATACGCAGGTGCTGTGTAAGATGTGATTGTTGGCGGAACCTCTTTCCACACTCAGGACAGGGATAGGGACGAGATTCAATATGAATACAGCCATGTTGAAGAAGGGTTGATTTTTGCTTGAATTCCTTCTGACAGATGGGGCACCGTACATACAATGGCATACCAGCGCTTCGACCATGTTGAATAACGTCAGGTAAACCTTTGCCTTGTTTAAGATACTGAAGGGCAAAATTACTTCCAGGTCCAAACACTGCATGGTTCATACCCTTAGCATCCTTAAAATAGGCAGGATACTGAAGGTTTGATTCAGGCGAAAAGCATCCATTTGCCTGTCTCTGGTGGTCTGGAGTTTGCGCATTATGTTCACTATCAAAGGGAGAGCCACCATTCTCAGTTGGAGGCTCTTTGGTGTCCATTTCAGGGGGGAAAGGTACATCCTGAGGCCACAGAGTACCATTCTTGTACACCAGGTGAGGGCTCACATCTGTAAACAGAAAAAGTCACATTTTTTTTTACCAAAGAAAATAGATTGTGAATAGCAATACCAATTTCTTTTTGTTTAATCAGTACAATTATTGACAAATAAAATCTAAGTAATTTTTATGAAATGATATTGGTCTTGGGGAATTATTAGCCAAAGTTTAGGCAAAGTAACTTTATATTGAACTTTTGAAGTCAGTCTATCTGCTAAATCAAACCATGTGTACTATATTTTTAAACAACATTTCAAGTAACTGATTTACTTTATGACTTATATCAGAAAGCGTTTTGAAATTTCATGCAAACTTAGCACATGTATAAGGTAGTGCAAAGTAAATAATGATGCAGGAAGCATAAAATATCCCAGAGAAGAACATCAAATATCAATATTTTGTCGATTTCATCGGTTGCCGGGAAATCAGCGTTGTTTTGATATTATGTTTCTCACTGGGAAATGCATTAGATTCTATGGTTACTTTTTTCTTTCCTTAAGAACTCTACCGTGTGCAAATGTATGGTCTTCTCTACTACTGAAGCAATTGACAATAAATACTAAAACTATTGCCATGTCCCAAGAGATAGGAGCGTTTGTTAATGAAGCAGTCTTCTCACACATCCACCAAAGCTGAACATTGCAGGAAGTAGGTAAAAGGACAGGTAAAGTTGTGCAGTGACACAATAAGTCAGATTGTTTGTCTGTACGAGGAAACAAAACAAAATGTGCTTTGAAATCTTAAGAAATAAGATAAAATTTTCA